GAGAATACGAAATTCAGGAGAATTGATCAGCCGCGCATCTCTTGCCTTTGCGGACAACTGTAGTGTACGCTCGTATATCCAGACTCTCTTGTGGTGAGGAATCTCAGCGCAGACCACTGTGTCGACAGTTGGGTCATCGAAGAAAGTTTCGGCTATGTTTGAAGCGGTTGCATCCAGCATCGCCTGCCTTCTCTCAGGTCGTTCCAAGAGCGCGACGTTGAATTTGGGAGACGAATCTTCCGGCGAGCAGTCAGGTGGATTTTGAAGCGGGCGCGTACAAGGGTATGGTCTGTACAGTTCCTGTTTCCAGTTTCTGCGCCGCAATAGGAACGGCAGTCTTCTACCAAAGAGGCCCAGCGAGCACGTACCAAAATATAATCTGGTGTGCCGTTCAACCATTATTTGAGTACCACGAGAGCAGGTGTTTTCTGGGGCGTTGAAAACGGTGTTGGCCACGACCAGCCGGTTAAGGTCAGCCAATGTGACTAGGCGCTCACCATTTTCGCAACGTTGACCAGGGCGGAACTTTGCCAGAACATGCCAAGTATGTTCGTCTGATGGACCAGTGCCTACATTCCAGTCTCCTGCGATAAAGAGAATGTCGCGTCTCGGACTGCGTCTTGAACTTGGTTGTAGAAGTTGTATTTGATGGGTTCTTCCGCATGTAACGTTGGAGCATATACAGCGATGAGTCGGGTTAAACGGCTTAACCCTGAAGCGCTATGGTAATCCTGGGAGACATTGGTTCCCAGGAGATCGTGGTACTGCTGACTCAGCCATTCACGGCGACTGTTACCCCGAAGCAAACCGGAGTTGTCAGCTGGACCGCTGTGGTATAACCGGTAGGTTGTGTTGCTATGTGGTACGTTGATTAGTTTTGTCATAGTTAGCTAGTTGGATTTCGGACAGACAACAGATATCTGCCTTGTACTCATGCAACGATCGCATTGTGATGCACTGGCTTCCTGTGTCTAGCAATATTACATGGAGGTCTGGTGCCCATAGTCAATGGACTATGTACGGGTAGCACAGCTGAGTGCTACTAAGCGCGTCTCCAAGTCGTGGGTAGGAAAACGGACATCTTGGCGGTTAATCGTGAATAGGTGGGACTACCTCATTGAATAATTGGTCGCGGACGATCAGCGGCGATGCTAGAGAACGTGGTGGGATTTCCGGCTGGCAACCGATATACCGATATCATAAGTGTCTGCTGACAGCATCGCGACATGTGCGAATGTGGCTCGCCACCAAATAAGGTTCCTGCTACTTGCCTACTCTTACGAGTAGGACAAACTCTGAGGAATGCCACCAACCCTCACACCTCACGGACACGTTGGGATCCTGGAGTGGAGCTGAGAGATCCGAAAGGCATGTGAACCGTTCTGACGGTCACCGGCTACCAACAATTCTACCCTGTTACCCTGCATGTCGCACTTGGTTGTGCAAGGATTAAAGGTGCACTCTGGAACAAAAGCCGAGCGGCGCTGGGGACGTCACTTAGTACCTCATTCGCAAGTTTCTTCATGGATTGTCTTACAATGGTACATCGCGTTCATGCTACGGTGTTCCCGGAAGCGACGCGCCATGCGCTCTCCCAGTAGCTGGGGTGAGGAATGAGCAAGCCGAGAACATAAACCATCACGTAGTCTTACTATCTGTGGGTTCCCACTCAGGTTACAATTAAACAATAAAGGCTGCACTGGATATGCGCAACACACGCACCGATCATCACATTGTTATCCAATGCAATGACAACGAATGTATTGCTGTGTGCATCCTACACACCTGTCTGCCCCCGAACCGTGTGCCGATTCAGTTATGATAGGAGTAACTTCATAGCCACAACCCAATTATCATTTGTTTGTGGTCAAAAAACTATCATGTTGCTCAAGCCAAAACGAATAACACCACATTCCAACATTAAGAATTGAAACACTACGGATAACCAACAACAATAAACAAGCATCTTATTTATTCGGAGGTCAAGCTTCAAAATCCAAACGCAGAACTATCTGAGATGTCTCAATAAAACTGATCAATTCGTCCGAGCGAAATGGTTAAGTAGCACTTCTGCTTATCATGAGTAGCTACAACCGAAAATTCGCCCCTTTTCGTGGAAGCATCCAGTAACCTATCTGTTCATTCTGTAATCAACATCTTCTGCATACACTTGCCACAAAAGTACACCTCAACGCCGTTGCTATCGCATGAACATTTTAATTATTATAAATTTTCAAACTGAAGAGAAAATGTGAGAGGGGAAAACTACACCGACTTTTTCGTGAACTCAAGGAGTGAGTAACCGTAGACTAGAAAGCGGCCGCGGCGTTTGTGTATAGTGAACGTTAAAGAGTAGTAAAGTTCTCCGGCCCATCCTTTAGGGAATATCTCAAAGCTTCTGGCTAATACATGAATTAAGAGAGCAGTAATGCATTAGTGGGCTAGAATGTTTTAGTATCACTTTGAGAAAATTGGCATTAGCTAAGCACAATAATGTGGAAGTAATAATGACACTGCACAGCGAAAATCGTTATCTCAACTCTTAGTTCATAAAAAACAAGGACATAAAATGAATTCAAGAAGCTTCAAGCTTTGTTTTTCAACCATATCCAAGCTGAATGGATCAATTCATGCTATTACAGTGAGTATGCACCTTCATGTAGTGTGACGGTTTGCATGCTTCCAGGACCCAGCACGCTAAACGGGATGGTTTTCACTACTGCAGATTCAATCGGTCGACCGGTAGAAGCCATACAAAGCTCAATCCCACAAGGCTAGCTGATAGGAAACCAGCTGCTTAACGCTTTAACCTCTGCTAGGCAGAGGTTACTCCTGTAAATAATCACGACAAGGAGTTTACTGGTCGAAAACAACTCAGTATATGTGCGTAGGGACAGGGTACCAGGGTACCCGACGATTGGAAAAGTCGTCGTAACTTATTGAACACCTACGGCTCACCTAATCTGGGCAGCACCTATGCAGTGATATTCTTTTTCTTTCGCGCCCGTTGGGTGCATGCGGCTAAGGTGCAATACCGAAAACCGAACCGAAAATCAATTAACCAAGAAAATACACTAAACTGGAGGCTTTGTACGCAAGGTCACTGGAACCTTTCATACAGGTGCATGGTCACATCTGCGCGCTGGACTTATGACCCATTGCTTTGATGATCAGAGTTTTTAAGACTACAGTTAGGGTTCCCATAGGAAACCCCGAAGTCGATGTGGGCTATCTTGAAGTTTGTCGTCCCGTAGTCCATCTGTAAGTCCCCCGCCCTCATCTGTTCAGTTATTCCTCTCACTTTCAAAGCACACGATATGCCTCTTATTTCTACTAATCAAGATATATTCCTTAGAGTTTTACAAGTTTGGTTAACTAAGCAGTGGGTACCAGATCGATGAAACGAAAATCTTTTCACTCATCCGTATTCAATGTCCGCCCATAAGCTGTCCTAGAACCCTTGAAACGTTCCCTTCTGTCGCCTACTGTCTCCAAAACACACATACAGGACCCTACTTAAATAACGAATCTACGGTCTTCCGATTCAACCTCATCATAACGCTTCACTCTCTATGAGTCAAACGATTCAGCGTCCAGTGCTGGCGATGTGGTTAGTATTGGGGTTGCACGGAGTACTCTCTTCTTGACTGTATCTGTCAGTAGTCGACTATGCGATGCAACACTGGTTGATTCGGTGTGGGTTAGCAGCAACAAGACAAAGCGTCGCTGCTTATTCACCGTGCCCAAACCAAGCAAGTGCAAGGTTGACGGTTGCATGAATTGACCTGACCTAATCGTTTAATATAGTATGATGTTCGTGAAACCTGTCGTCAAGCTGGTAGGTGGGAAGCGCCTGGATGGGATTTAACTACCAACATATCAAAAAATTGTACCAATTTGGTTTATAAGGATTGACACGTGTTACTATGGAACAGAGCCGAAGCTCAGCATTAATATCAACCAATTATTGCATAAGTATCCCTCAATGAACAAGGCTGCGCAAACAGACCGGCATAACCTGAATAATGACAGTTGGCGTCTGTTGAGAACCCGTGAAGAAAGTGTCAAAAACAGTGCTGAATCAGAGCAGGGGCGACAATGCATACCATCTGACGCAGATCACGGTCGC